CCATGAAGAATTTGGACATCAAAGTGCAAAGCTGAGGATGGGAAGTGGCTTGAGGGGCAGAGACTCATCTGAAGAGGATGCCAGCTCCATCCCATGCTCAGCATGTCTGTGAGCTCAGGAGTGCATCCACAGCCATGCACAAATCCCCTCCTGTCCAGGGCAGAACCCTTCAGAAGCTTTTCCATCTCTCCTGGTGCCTCCCAAACCTGTGTCAGCCTAAAGCCACAGCTGAGTCCCAACAGGGAACTTCTCTCTTTCTATTTATGCTGACTTAGGCCAAACCATTGTCTGCTCATTCCCAGGTTCCCCAGCTTCCTCTGAAAGTATTGAGTTACTTTTATTTCCTCTAAATCAAAGGCAAACAACAAACACACTGCAGCAGTGACATGGGGGCAGATCAAACACTGCAGTGTCTCCAACACAGCGTCACTGGGGGATGATGGGGACAAACACAAAGCCTGGGGATAGCACACAGCAGAGATGCAGGAGTTCCTGGAATGAAAGGAAATCTTGTGCCTGAGCATCTTCAGGAATGGCTGCAAAACTCACCTGCCCAACCACCCAGCCCCTCCAAGGCTCACTGAGAGCATCTCATGGAATGGCACGATTCCATGCCTTGATCCATCAGATGGAGAAAGTGAGAAATAACTCACCTGAAGCCTCAGAATTACTTTTACACCAGAGCCAGGGCAGATCCCCTCAATGAGACCCAGCACACGCTGTCTGAGGGTCCCAGCTCACACTCCAAAGAAAGGAGCTGGTTTATGAAAGGAATTCTCTCTCTCCCTTACCATAATGCTTTCTGTTTCCTTTCCTAGGAGCCACATCTGTGCAAACAGCTGGACAGTCTGAGGCTGGGACCCTCCCAGACACCCAGGCAGTCCATTCCCAGTGACAACCCCTGCCCAGAGGCACAATTTCCAAACCACAATTCCTTTCCCCAGCAGCAGCAGGATGCAGCAGGCAGGCTGAGTGTGAAGATGCTGACTGTGGGAGAATGGGCTGCCACAGCCTAACCCTGAGCCAGGCACAACCACTCACACCCCACTGAGGTTTTCAGACTCTGCTCATGACCCGCAGCAGGAGGAAGACACTGAGGGCAGACCTGAGTTGTGACAGATTGCAAATCACCTTGCCAGCTTCTCCAAAATCACCCTGTCAGCTTCTCCAAAATCACCTTGTCAGCTTCTCCACAGGCTCCAAACCACCTCCACAGTGGGTTTCTTCCTTCCCAAACCCACTCCACGTGGAGCCCTAACACACCCTGAGCACCCAGAGCCCTCCTGCCTTACCAGTGCTCTTCAAATGCAGCCACCAGCTTCACCACGCTCTGCTGATAATCTGCTTTTCCCTCCATGGCAGGGCTGGGAGCAGCTCCAGGGTGTTCAGGAGCTGCAGCTCCTTCCTGTGTCCCCCTCTCTGCTCTGAAGTGCTTCTGGCTGCAGTTTGGGAGCGAGGATTTGCACGAGGCAAAGCCCACCCGCTGCCCTCTCTGTGGCAGCAGAGCTTGTCACTGGGCTGGCCTCAAAAGGGAAGGGAAAGAGGAACCAGAGCACTTTGTGGGCAGGAGAAATGCTGAGAAAACACTGGGAATGGCTTCAGTTTGGGAGGGACCCAAGTGTGCACAGCCAAGGGCAGAGCAGCAGCAGGGATGGCGCAGGGCAGGGGTGACCTGGGACACCTCAGGTAGGATGGGCTGTGTCCTCTCAGGATTCTAGCTGCTCACAGTGACCCTGAGATACGTTAGAAAATCTCTTTTCCCAGCCCAGCGATCAAAGAAGGAGTCAGAACTAATTTTTCAGTCTCAAGGTTGTTTATTGTTCCTTATCTATAAAATTCTTTCTCCTGTCCAGCCGAGGTCCGCTCAGCAAGACAGACAGAGGCACTCTGGCCGCTCCCAGGGCAGTGTTATGTTTTTATACAAAACATATGTACAATATTTACAATTACTTCCCAATACCTATCACCTATGTTAGACAGTGAGCTTCTACCTTAAACCAATCTAAAAGTGCCAACATCACAGCAGAAGATGGAGGCCAAGAAGAAGAAGAAGAAGAAGGAGAAAGGCTGGACATACCCAGATTCCTCCATCTTTTCCCCTGAACCCCCATGCTAAAAACTCCAAAAAATCTATTTTTCACCCTGTGATAAATTCACTATCATTCTACTTAAACTTTTGTGGCTTGTAAATAAGGTTGGTAATTGTTTTTTCCAAGGGCTAAATCAAAGGCACAGGGGTCTTGGGCTCTGTGCCAGGGTCTCTGAGCCCCCTAGGCAGGGGCTGGAGCTCTCCAGGGCAGCCAGAGGAATTTCCTTGTTCTGAGCATCCCACCAGGGTGGCAGTCTGGACAGTCTGGATGGCTGGAGTGGGCTGGCAGGACCCTGGTGCCCAGCTAGGGCTGGTGTGTCTGCCCCAAACACCCAGAGCTGCACAGCTGTGGGACCAGCCAAGGACTGCTGGTAACAACAGACCAGGATTGTCGGTGATAACTGTGAGAAAGAACAAGATGTGGCTGGAGAAGGGACCATGTGGACATAGGGCAATACTTTTCCAGAAAGGTCTAAGACAGTGCACTGTGTATGAGATCCAATGTGCATGGCAAGTGAGAAACCCATCCCAGAGCCTGTGCCCCAGGAGGGTCAGGCAGACCAGTGACGGAACCAGCACTGGAAATCTGCTTTCCTTTTTTTCTTTTTTCCTTTCCTTGTATTTTTTGGGTCATTTTTTATTCTTCCCTTCCTCTTTAACTCGATTTATCTTTTCTCTCTCCCCTTTCCCCAACCCCTCTCCCGTGTGCTCACAATCCCCGTGTGAGTCAGTCACTCACACCCAACTCTCCAATCCCTAAACTCCTTCTCCATTTTCCGCGCCCTCTCCTCTCTCCCGCCGCCGCCACCACCGCCACCCCTCACGCCGGGCTCCCCCTGCCCCTCAATGGTTCCTCCCGCCCCTCAATGGTTCCGCGGTCCCCCCCCCGGCCCGCGGCGCGGTGGTGGCGGCCGGTGACGCGCGAGCCATGGCGGCCATGGCGGCGCTGCCCCCGGGGCCGCTGTCGCCGCCTGGCGGGGGCGCGGCGGACGCGGCGGGGCCTGAGGGCGCCGAGGGCCTGTTCGTGCTGCTGGGCGCGGGGCTCGCCGCCGCCAGCCACCCCCTGCTCTACGTCAAGTTGCTCGTGCAGGTCCGCTTTGAGGGGGGGACGGTGCGGTGGGAGTCCCGTGTGTAACGGGAGGGGTGAATCCGGGATAACCGGGGGGATTTGTGGATAGTGCTCCTATAGAGGCCTCCGTGCGCTGGGGGGTCACTGTTTGTACAGCCCTGCCCGGTACAACGGGGCCCCCTGTGCGGTGGGGGCACCTATAGGATGGGGAGACCTCAGTGTAATTAAGGTGGGGTCCCTGTGGGTAACGGGGCATCGGGGCCCCGGTGTAGTTAATGGGGTCGGGTCTCTGTGGGTAACAGGGGATTGGGACCCCGGTATAACGGGAGGAGATAAATTGGATTTCCATCGGAGCACTGGATTCTTGCAGTGCCCCCATGGAAGCCCCCATGTGCTAGGGTTATATACACAGTATGTGCAGCCCCCCATTACAGTGAGACCCTCTGTGCAATGGGGGTATCTACAGAATGGGGGGCACCTATAGAATGGGGGACCCCTGTGTGGGATGGGGGATTGAGACCCCACTGTCACAGGTGGGAGTGGATTCCTGGTTTGTGCCCCTATAGAGGACTCCTTCCCTTGGGGGTCGCTGTACATGCAGCCCCCCCATTATAAGGGACCCCCTGAGCACTTACAGAATGAGGGACCTGTGGGTAATGGAGTGCCCCATATGTAAGGGAATGGGGTCCCCTATACACTGGTGGGCCTATATAAAAATTGGGTCCTATGTAATAGGAAGGTGAGGATGCTTTCTACAATAGGGGCACCATATACAGGGAATAGGGGACACCATACAGTAGGGGCTCCTTTGTAGTGGGGCATTGGGATCCCTCCTGTGACAGGGAATGGGGACACCCAGTAATGCGGGAACCCCTATAAAATTACCCCTCTGCCATGGGGCCTCCCATATAAAGCAAGATAGGAAACACCAAGACTCTCTCAGTAACAGGGACCCCCTAAAATGGGAAGGTGGAGGACCCCCTGTAACCTAGGGACCCCATAAAATGGGGAAAGGAGTGCCTGAGAGTGATGGGGGCATGCTGGGATCAATCCTGTTCATCCCAGGGACTTTGGGAACACCAGAACAGAGATCTGCTCACGAGCTTTCTCTCTCAGGTTGGCCATGAGCCACTACCTCCAACCATTGGCAGAAATGTGCTGGGGAGGAAGGTCCTGTACCTGCCTGGCTTCTTCACCTACGGTGAGTGACTGTCCCTCCCTGCCAGCACGAGGTCCTGCCCTCGTGGAATCAGGGCTGGGAGCTGCCAGGCAGCCTGAGCTGACCCCAGCAGCACTCCCACATCCCCTTGGGATCATCTGAGGCTGCAGTGAGGCATAAACCACCACAACTCCTTGCAAGGCTGTCACATTTATGTACCTCTTGCTATGGGGTGTTGGTGCTGCATCTTGTTCCTGTGGCACATTGCTCCTGGTTTGGGGGCTTTTAGGTGCTGTAGGTTTGTTGCAGGAGGTTTTTGTGTGTTTTGGAGATTGCAAAATACTTTCCTTCTGCTCCAAAACAGCCCTGGAATAACCTTCCCCCTGCCCTGCTCATTTGTGTTGTAGATGGAGCCCTAAAAAGGGACAGAAATACCAAGAAAAGGGCAGGTAATATGTTTAGAAGGAAAAAAAAAATGGTATTTTCCTCTTTTTGTGGGTGGAGCAGCATGGGAGAGGTGGGTGAATACTTTGTGACCTGCTGTCACAGCAGGTTTGCTGTGGGGCAGGGGAATGCACTGTCCTGACAGCTGAGCTGGGCCATCCCAAAATCTGCCAGTGGTGCCCATGGGGTGGAACCAGCACAGGAGCAGGATGAGAGCCCTGGAAACCCATCCTGGGACACCCAGGGCTGGAAATGCTCCAGTGCTGCCCTTTGGAAGATGCAGAGAGATGGGCAGTGTTGGGTGATGGAGAGGTGCAGAGCCTGCCTGGCTTTGCTTGGACAGCACAGAACAGAGACAGGAGCAGTCAGCAGCCACCAGCACACAGTGGGTTCTATCCCACCTTGTTATATGTGGGAGAAATGGCATCTCTGGGCTTTTTTTGCAAGGAGGTTTGCCTGGGAGAAGGTGGTGGGGCAGGAACTGAACATGGGTTTGTGAGATCCATATGAGCCCTCCTGGGGTGGAGGGAGGAGGTGACAGCACAGAGCACATGGGATGATCCCCCCTGCCTGGTTCAGTCCAAACTGCCTTGGAGCCCTTTCAGGTGAGCAAAACCATCAAAAAGACAAAAAGTAGCCCAAAATATTGCAGCTGTCCTTGCACATTAGCCAGATGACAGAGTAAGAATTCCTATCCTGCAGTAAGAAGTTTCTTTAGGACTGTTACAATAAATCATGCTGAGCCTGGTGTGGTTTCAGCTGAGCCCTGGGGCTGTTTGGGGTGCTCTGCATGCCCCCTTCCCTGCTGACAGTACCCTGGTGTTGTCCCTCCCAGCCAGACACATCGTGGAAGTGGATGGGAAGAGAGGCCTCTTCCGTGGCCTCACCCCTCGCCTCATCTCAAGCACTTTATCAACCATCACCAGGGGGAGTGTGAAGAAGGTAAAGGTCAGCTTCTCTCTCCATTAATCACCTGCAGGGGCAGTGCTACTGCAGCAAGAGCTGCACAGGAGGACTGATGAATCCATCCCCAAAGCATTTTTTAATTTATAAACCATTTTAATTTGATTTGGCGTCCCTGTGCCTTGTATCCTCTGTCTGCAGTTTTGTGACTCCTCTATTCCTCTGTTTTGCTTTCCATCCTTTCTTCTCCTGTGTTTTTTCTTGCTCATTTGTCTTGCCCTTGCATCTAGAGCACTGCTTTTTGTGGTTCCTCCCATCCTCAGACATTGTGGGTCAGCATCTCCATCAGTTCTAACCACGTTGCTTCCCTCTCCACTCAGGCTTTTCCACTGGAAGACATGGAGCACGTGTCCAACAAGGATGATGTGAAAACTTCACTTAGGAAAGTGGTCAGAGAGGTGAGAAGTGGATATTGCCCACTCATGAGTGGCTGGGGACATCCTTGGGGACATGGGTGAGATTACTTGGGGAGAAACTGGAGTGAGAAGTTTGTGGTGAGAAATTTGTGGATTTGTTTGTCTGTCAGTTTAGTGGCCATTCTGTGTCTATCCATTAAATAATTCACAGGAGCAGAGGTTCAGCACAAGAACAAATCTCAAAAGAGGGACCCAAAATGTGTGAGGGAAAGGGAGCAGGGGGAGCACACAGCTTTTCTCACAGCGTTTTCTCCTCCTTTCCCAGACATCCCACGAGATGATGATGCAGTGTGTGTCCCGGGTCGTGTCACACCCCCTGCACGGTGAGTCCTGTGCCCTGGCTGGCAGCTCCCTCCAGGCTGGGCATCACCCCAAACCCTGCACACTCAGGGGGATGGTTCTTATGATGCTTTCTGTCATATGAGGCTGGTGCTGGGGTTTGCCTTCAGGCACTAACACAGCTGAGCAATGAGTTTCTCTCTTGCCACTCATCCAGGACCTTGTCCTAGAGATCCCATTGGGGTTAGGGCCAGTAGCAGCTTTCCAGTGCCTAAAGGGGCTCCAAGAGAGCTGGAGAGGGACTTTGGATGAGGGCATGGAGACACAGGACACAGGGAATGGCTTCCCGCTGCTGGAGAGCTGGCTTAGATGGGATTTTGGGAAGAAATCTTCTCTGTGAGGGTGGGGAGGCCTTGGCACAGAGCAGCTGTGGCTGCCCCATGCCTGGAAGTGTCCAAGGCCAGACTGGACAGGGCTTGGAGCAACCTGGGAGAGTGGAAGGTGTCCCTCCCTATGCCAGGGAGTTTGGGAAAAGATAGATCTTTTGGAAAAAGTTAGGGACTTGACAGATCCCTTCCAACCCAAACCTCTCTGTGATCCTCTGAAATCCTTCCCACCACTTACAGGCTCAGGAAAGGCCCCAGTTTCTAATGAGTCTTGCAGTGCTGATGACCACTGAGAGGAGCTGGAGATGCTGTGAGTTGAGGGAGAGCAGAAGGGTCATGTTTCATTTCCCTTGACATCCAGTACAACCCAAAGTGGATTTGTTTGTCTATCAGCCCTGTGTTTCTTTCCTCCCAGTGATCTCCATGCGCTGCATGGTCCAGTTCGTGGGCCGGGAAGTCAAATACAGGTGAGTGGCTGTACCTGGGGAGGCTCTGGAATGCCAGGTACTGACCCCAGATCAAATATGGGATGCTCTGGGATGGTCCCTGTGAGTGGGGCATGGCTGTGAGTGGAGCAGGCTGCTCACAACCCTCCACCTCCCAGGGAAGTGATCTGGAAGAAGCTGCCACATTCCCTTCCATCCACATGGAATAAACAGTGCTGGTGGCTTAATGGTGGCTCCCATGCCATGGGAACAGGGTTATCCAGGAGGCTTGAGAGGCTGAAAAGTGAATCTGAGCTGTGCTGAGAGGGTGGGTGACTGGGGTTTGAAGGTTTGTGCAAGGCTGGGCTCTGTCCCTGATTGCCTCTGTTCCACCTTGTGCTGTTTGGGGCTGTATCACCCTTGCTGAGTCTCCTGCCTTTTTCCTTTGCCTATTAATGGAAAGGGAAGGCAGCAGGGAGGCAGAGTGGATAACACAAAGCTTTGCTGCAGCCCTGCTTAGTCTGTACAATTTTTCCAAGCCTTTTGCAGTACCAGCTGCCTCTCTGCAGGGCAGAACTGCCTGTGGAGCAATGTGGAGGCACACTAGACAGGACTGCAGCCAGCCCACAGCAGCCAGCTCGAGTTCCCAAAGGCAGGACAGGGTTCTTGGGCTTAGAATCATCCAAATCAACCCATGTCACACAACATCTGTACCCACTCACAAAGCCTCACAGAGCTCCTGTGCCTTCAGCATTGAACAGTTGTGTGCAGCTTGTTCTGCTGGTGTCACTGCAGACTGTAAGAACACAGACACGACCTTCCCTCCCTCAAAGCTGCCTGGAGTGAGGAGAACAGGCAGAACGAGCTGCTGGAATGATGGTTTAGGGCTGCAGGATGTGTATGAAGCTACACAGGGCAGAGGTGGAACAACTCTGCACACTCACAGCTCTTTTCCTTTCTTGGCAGCGGTGTGTTCAGTGCCATTGGCAGGATATTTAAGGAAGAAGGGATCCTGGGATTCTTTGTGTAAGTGAATTGTTGTTTAAATACTTTCTCCCATAGCCTGAAGGCACTCATGGCTCTGCTGGCAGCTCTGCCACCCCCAGATGGAGTCACACTGAGCTGAAACCTTGTCTGACCAAGGGACTCCCACGATTAAATCTGTGCCTTTGACAGTGCTCCAGGTTGACCATTAAGTTTGCCCCAGATCTTATCTTCAATCAAACCTTCAGAGCCCAGGGCAAGCTGTGTTTCTTCTTATCTTTCTTTTTCCCTTCGTGCTTCTTTGTGTTTCAGTGGAGGGCCATTTAAAGCATTTGTTTGTGCAACAGGCACCAAGATCAAGTGCAACAATAAGTTCCCTTGTTGAAATGAAAGCCAGGGCCTGGATAAGCAGCAGATTGCTCTGCAGAGCACCGTGGGTGCTTGTAATGAGCAGGTTTACCTGTGTGGCTGCAGTGTGGTGGTGTCTGGACCAGGAGGAGCTGAAAGGTGTTTCCAGCTGCTTTCAGAGCCTGGCAAATTGGTGCATCACTGAAATGGAAGTTTAGTGGACACCTTTTTGCTTGAACCCTTAATTATTGCTTCCTGCCTTTCTTTTTCACGTCTACATAAAAGCAGAACCACCTGCTGTCTCTGCTCGTGGTGGGGAGATAACTCAATTTATTACGTCAATAATAGTAAAGGCAGCTCTGGAATTTCAGTAGGGGTCTCCAGGATGCCTTTGGCTCTGCACTCACAAAATATGGGCCTCCAGATGAAACCTGAATGCATCAGGAAGAGGGAAAAAATCACAGGGGGTCTCACCCTGTCCTTCCTCAAGGGGAAATGGCCAGGGATCTCCACCCATTGAGGGTCACTGCTTCTTCCTGTGGCAGCCCACAGCTTCTCAGCTGAGCTGTGCAGCTCCAAATCTGCTCCACTAAATCCAGGATGGTCCCTGTGAGTGGAGCATGGCTGTGAGTGGAGCAGGCTGCTCACAACCCTCCACCTCCCAGGGAAGTGATTGAAAAAAGCCACCACATTCCCTTCCATCCACATGAAATAAACACTGCTGGTGGCCTAATGAAACTTAATGGTTCTCAGGAAAGGCTTTAACACAACCCAAATTGTCTCAGGAGGGCTCTGAAGTTCTACATGCTCTACAACCCTGTTAGGAAATCCCTTTGCTGTGAGGGGAGCACAAACTGCATCTGAAGGGCCAAACTGCTGATTTTCTCCTCTGAGCCCTGGTGCAATCCCAGCACATCCACTGCCCTAAAATCATGGCAGTGCACTTGTTTCTCATGGCCTTATAACAGTGGCACACACTCTCTGAGTCTCTCTCACTCTCTGGGTGTGTGCCTGGCTAGAGATAAAGCTTTGCAAGGATGGGTTTATCTCCCTTCCCCTCATATCTGCAACAGGCTCCTGGCAGCCCAGGGAGGTGTTCCCTGAGCTCCAAAGCTGCTGGGCATGGTCAGTTCAAACTTGGCTTGTCCCAGGTCCCTTGCACTGGGGTTTTTGCTGTTGGGTCACACTGCTGTACATCATTCAGGCTTCCTCCTCTGCCTGCTGCTGTTCCAGCTTTTCATCATCTGCCAAAGATATTCCCAGTTCAGATCTTGGACATCTCAGCAGGTGTGAGAATTGCAGCACTCACTTTTTTATATCAATATTAGTAGAGGCAGTGCTGGAATTCCAGGAGGGGTTTTCAGGCCTGATGCCTTTGGCTTGTTGGCTTTTTTTTAGTTACTTTTTGCAGCTCTCAGACCCCTGGTTTCCAGTCATCAGCTCAGGGCCAGCAGCTGTCATTACTTTGGAGGGGAGAAAGGGATGGGATCCTTATTGGAAGTGGAACAGTCTGACTCCCTCTCAACAGTTGGGTGAGGTTTTCCTTCTGGGGCTGCCCTGGCCCAGCCCTTTGCTTCTGGAATTTATTAGGCTCTGTTGTATCTGCAGCAGCTCAGGAGCTTCAGACTTAACTTTGAGTTAGAGAAAGGATGGATTTTTTACAAAGGCCGAAAGCCAAACACAAAGCAGAACATCTCTTTGGGGCCAGAGAGCTTTGATTTCTTTGTCCTGTCTGCTGCTCTCATGTATCACATCTTTGAAGCCAGTGAATTTTCTGCCGAAGGTTTCTGCTGTGCCTGGCCCCTGAGACCTCAGCTGCATCCCCAGGGCTGCTGAGGCATTAACAATGCTCAGGTTGTTCCCAAAACCAGTCCCAGGTGCTGCTTTGCTGCTGCTGCAACCACAGCAGGAAACAAACCGGTGCTTTGCTCTGAGGAGGCAGCGTGGTGTTTGGGGAGAAACAAAAGACTCAGATTAACGTGCCTGGAGGGGGCTCTTTGCAGCTCAGCAAGCACTCCTGTGGCTCATGATGGGCTCCTTTTCAGAGCTGACCACATCTGCTGGTGAAACACGGGTTTGACACACACCTGGGTCCTTTTGCAGTGGAAAAACCCCTGCAAAAGCAGGAAACCCTGCCCTGCTGCAGCAGAGAAAACTGGAGAAACCCTCTGGAATATTTTATTAAAGTTTTGGTGCTGGTATCTGCAAAAGCTGGAAGTGCTGTTGGGAGCTCCAGTGTGTCAGTGGGAGGCATCAACCAAAGAACTCTGCTTCTGGGGCAGCAGGGACTGGGGAAAATCAGTGTTCCCCCAGTTATTCCCATTTCTCAGTGGAGCAGGTTGTGCAGGAACAACCCCTCTCATTTTGATTTCTAAAACGAGAGAGATTCCACAAAGAAATGAACTTCTCATTGTGCATCCAAAAGAGCATCTTCAGAAATGGAAACCACTTCATCTGTGTCTCACTTGGGTTTCTCAGCAGGAGCTGGGCCAAGAAGATTTGAGATAGAACAAGGGGAATTGAATCATGCCCAAAAAACATCCCAAAAAATTTGCAGCCAGAGCAGCACCTGTAGTACCAAGTTTGAAGGCTGAGAGAGCTCTTCCCTGAAATTTCCCTTTTCAGTTCCTCCCAAAGTAAAAATTCCATTTTGAGGGAGCGGAGTTCCTCTGAGCTGGTGGAGGGAAGGAGGGCTGGGCATCTCAGGAGGTGGCACTGGACCCTCCTGCACCTCACAGCCTCTTTTTGCCCTTGCAGTGGGTTAGTCCCTCACGTCCTGGGGGATGTCATCTTCCTCTGGTGCTGCAACCTCCTGGCTCACTTCATCAACACCTACGCTGTGGATGACAACGTGAGTGAAGTGCCTGAGGCAGGGCTTGGGGTCTGCACCAAGCACCTGCAGTGGGAAGGGGTTCCTGGGGAGCAGAGGCTGATTTAATACAGACCCCAGGCTTTGGGGACATCCCTGAGTGCTGGGGGCTCTGTGTCTGCTCAGGGCTGTGCTTCACCTTTGGGTGATCACAATTTGCACTTTGGGGGATCACAGTTCCCCAAATGCCTTCCCAGACTCTCAGCTGGAATGCAGCTGCTCTCTTGCTTTCTGCCTCCTCCCCTGCCCCTCACCTCAGGCTCAGGGGGTGTCACACAGTGACAGTGCCAGCCTGGTGCCATCCCCTGCCCCACAACGCCTTTGGTTTCTCTCTGCAGTTCAGCCAGGCCTCGGTGATCCGGAGCTACACCAAGTTCGTGATGGGGGTATGTAGGAGCTGCTGTGTCCTTTCCCCTCCTCCTGCCCCCTCTGGGCTCAGAGCTCGTGCCCTGGGGACACAGGCTGCTCTGCACATGACTTCCCTTATCCAAGGATAACTCTGTTAACATGCAAAAGCTGGAAATAGCGTTTTTGACATGGGGAGCTTTAGAGAGGCTGCTGCTTTTCTGTGCTTTCAGATCGCTGTGAGCATGCTGACCTACCCGTTCCTTCTCGTGGGAGATCTCATGGCAGTGAACAACTGTGGGTATGTCCTTCACACTGAGATCTAAAGCTTTTCTTTTCCTTTCTTGCAGCCCCTTGTTGTCTGAATGGGCTGCTAACGACCGTAAAGCTTTCCTCCAGCCCCGTAAACTCTGTGGCACCTCGCAGAGCTGGCTCGTTTCCTCTCCCAGGTTGCTTATAATTTTAGATCAGAGGGCACAGACACGAGCAGCAGAAAAACTCAGGTGGTGAGAAATCGGGAGAGTTGTGGTGGTCTGAGCTGAGCTGGAGGCACAGGGATCAAAGGGACAGTGCTGGCTCCAGGGAGCAGCACGAGGGAAGCAGAGCTCTTATGGCAGCAGACAGGAGCAGGACCAAGCTTGCCTTCCCAATCGCACTGCTGCAAGTTTTCTGCATTTTTTTGCTCATGGGAACGGGATCCGAGTCTGGTGCCATGTTTTCTCAGTATCTGCTGGCTTTTGAAGGTGTAGATACGGTCCTGGACTCTCAGAGTCTCCAGGTAACGCTCCTTGTTTGTGCACTCCAGGGGTAATTAAATTACAGATCTGCTGCATTGTAAATAACGAGCTGTCACTTGGCTGCCAGCCCGGTGTGGACACTGTCCCCGTGTCCTCGTTCACACCTCCTGCTGCTCTTTTGTTACCTGTGCGGGTAAGGTGACACATCCACCTCAGCTGTTCCCTGTTGCTGTGCAGGTTGCGCGCCGGCCTCCCTCCCTACGCTCCTGCCTTTGCATCCTGGATCCACTGCTGGAGGTACCTCAGTGCTCAGGTGAGGGAGCAGGGTACACACACACGGGCCTTTGGGCTCCCTCTGCCCCTTTCCCAAGTCTCCAGCATTCCCCAAAAGTGCCTGTGCTGCATCCTTGCTGTGCTCTGTAACCTGCTTTTGTCCCTCCAGCTGTGGCACTGGTACCACAATGGCAGTGCTGCATCCTTGCTGTGCCCTGTAGGCTGCTTCTGTCCCTCTAGTTGTGGCACTGGTACCACAATGGCTGTGCTGCATCCTTGCCATGCTCTGTAACCTCCTTCTGGCCCTCCAGCTGTGGCACTGGTACCAGCCGGGCAGTGCTGCTCTGCCCCTTGCACACCCCAAGCTTGCAGCCTGTGAGCTTTTGTCCCGTGCATAGCACACAGCATGTCTGTGCCCCTCTGCATGTCACCCCTGGGTGAAATGCTCACCTCAGCACCCACAGGGCTGGAACCTCACTTTGCCCAGCCTTGCAGCCCTGCCATGGGCATGGAGTGGGGCCCTGCTGAAGCAGCTGCAGCTCCCTGGGCAGGTGTGAGGCTGCCCTGACCCAGGGCTCTCCTCCTCAGGGGCAGCTGTTCCGTGGCTCCAGCCTCCTGTTCCGCAGGGCGCCCATCCCAGCCTCCTTCCCCATGGACTGACGCCTCGGCAGGGACAGCTCATCAACCTGGACTCCTCAAGAAACCCCCAGCTTGTTTCGATATCTGTATATTTCTATTTTCTGATCCAAAGTCCATGGTGCCAGAACTGACACCTCCTCTTCAGCAAGGCCAGGAACAGACTTCTGGACATCTGGCTCAGGCTCCAGCTGCACCAAAGCTCCGTCCTTGTGGCTGTCTCAACTGGGGTGTATAGCAGAGAGAGCAGAAAGCTGTTGTCTCTTTGGTCCAGGCTGTAGCTCTGGAGTTGCTGGGGAAGTCCAGGAATCCAGAAAATGCCCAGGTACTAAAGGAGCCAGCCATGAGCTGCACGGACAAAAGACTGCTTTGTTCTGCCTGAGCTGATAAGCAGCAGGAGATCCAAGGTCACCTCCCTGGGAAGGTTATGCCAGGTGACAGCTCCTGCCTCATCCTTTCTGGAGAGAGCACCTTGGCCTGGCAGGTAGCTCATCCTGGGCAAGATCAACCTGGCATCCATATTCAAGGTTTGAGGGTACCTGATCACCCAGGAACATCCCACCTCCCACAGGCATGAAAAGGAAATTATAGGATCAAAATAGGGAAGGGAAACAGAGTCCCACTGCAAAGAATAGCAGAGTCCCAAAGAGACAGGTCCAGCCCAGCTCAGGGCAGTGATGGGATGTGGACACAGAGAGAGCCCTTGGGAAGGGACATGTGCTGCCAGTGGTGCTGCTTTGGGCAGGGTTTCACTCATGGAATGGGCTGTGTTTGGGTACACCCAGCAGGGCTGTGGGCTGGGCAGGCAGCCTGCACACGGTGGGTGCTGGGTTGGACTGGCCTGGCTGCACTGAGGGGCATCTCCCAGTTCCTGCTGCTGTTGCTGATGGAAATGGAGCTGTTGGGATCTGAGAGCTGCTCACAAAGGGCTCTCCTGCAGCAGGGGCAGCCATCCAGGGCTGTCTGCAATGAAGGGATGCACCTTGAGCTGGCCAGAAGCTGCTGAGGCATCAGAATTGAAGGCTCCTGGTCTCAGTGGAGCATGGCTCTGTGTGTAGCAGAGCTCACCAGGGCAGGATTGATGCTTAGCTCCCCAGACAAGACTTTCTTTGCACCAGTCTGTGCTGTGATGGCAGCCAGGCAGATTTCCCCACCTCTTTTGTACAGAGGTGATGCTGCCCTCCTTGGGAAGAGGTTTAGCATTGCTTGAGCAGGTTCCCATGTGGAGTCACATCTCAT